TGAGAGAGAGAGAGCATGAGACGGGGGAGGGTCCGAGGGAGAAGCAGACTCCCTGCTGAGCAGGGAGGGCAATTATATTTCAATTAAAAAATTATATGTATAGAGTTGTTTGTAATATTCCTTTATCATCTTTTTGATGTTGGAGTGGTCTGTAACAATACTCCTGTTTCATTCCTGATATTGGTATCTTGGGTCTTCTTTCTTTTTATCTTTGTGTCTTCCTAGGTGTTTATCAATTTTATTCATCTTTCTAAAGAACCAGCTTTTTCATTGATTTTCTCTGTTTTTTGGTTTTCAATTGCATTGATTTCTGCTTTTAGTTTTGTTTCCTTTTGTTTGCTTTGGATTTATATTGCTCTTCCTTTTCTCAGTTTCTAAAAGGGGAGCATAGATAATTGATTTGAGCATAGATTATTTGTTTGAGAGATACTGATTATTGATTTGAGAATTCTCTTTTCTACTGTATGCATTTATTGCTATAAATTTATCTCTCAATACTGTTAGCTGTGTCCCACAAATTTTGATGTTATTCCACTTAGTTTATTTTTTTTATTTTCCCTTATGATTTCCTCTTTGATACATGAATTCTTCATAAATACAATGTTTAGTTTCCAAGCATTGGTTTGGAGATTTGCCTGGTATCTTTCTGACATTGATTTCTGATTTAATTTTATTTTGATCAGAGAACATATTCTGTATGAATTCTATTATTTTAAATTTGCTGGAGTTTGTTTTATGGCCCAGGATATGATCTATCTTGGTATATATTCCATGTGTATTCCACTATTGGGTAGAGTATCCTCCAAGTGTCAATTAGATTCTCTCAGCTCATGGTATTGTTGGGAGTTTTTCTATATCCTTGCTAGCTTTCTACTTGTTCTATTAACTGTTGAGAAAGTGATATCTTTACAATTCTATTTCACTATAAATACAGTAATTTTGAGTATATATCTCCTTGTATAGCTTCTTTAGTCAGTGCTCTAGGTTTGACAACTTCTATAGGTGCCATCATGTTATCAGTGTGAAGAAAATGTAGAAACTTTAGCTCCCCTTACAAACATGTATCCTCTTTTATTTGCAATTGTCCTAAATACTTCTTTCATATACTTTTAGAACCACTTGGATAATGTTATCATCTTTGCTTCAACTATCCATTGTAATTTAGAAAAAGGAAGAGAAGAGGGAAAGTCTATTGCACTTACCAATATTTTTACTTACTGTGCTCTCTCTTCACTGATGGAATAATTCCAAGATTCCTTTTTTTCCCCAATTCCATTCTGTTTGGAGAACTTCCGTTAGCCATTCTTTTAGGGTAGGTTGGCTGATGACAAATTATCTTAATTTGTTGTCTTAATTGACTTGGTTTCTCCTTCATTTTTGAAGAATATTTTTGCTGGGTATAGGATTGTGGGCTGGCTGGCCATTATTTTACTTTAGCACTCAAAACTGTTGTGCTACTTCCTTCTGCGTGGTTTCTGAATTCGAACTGTATTCCTTCCATAGGTAAGATGTTATGACTCTCCCACTGTTTTTAAGATTTTTTTCTCTGTCTTTCAAGAAGTTTGACTACAATGTGTCTTAGTGTGGATTTCTTTGCCTTTATCCTGCATGAAATTTGCTTAACTTCTTGATCTGTAGGTTTACAGATTTTGTAAAATACGGAGTTTTCAGCTATTATTTTTTGAGTCCTTTTCCAGCCCTGTTCTTTCTCCTCTTCTAATACTCTGAAGACACAAATGGAAGATCCTTTGTTATATTCCCATAGGATTTTTCATGGATTCGCTTTGTTTTGTTCCTGTTTGTTCAGATTGAGTAACTTCTATTGCTCTTTCCAGTTCACTAATTTCCTATGGCTCAGGCATTCTGCTGAAGCCCATCCTTGGGCTTTTATAACCCCGTCCTTGGGGTTATAAAATTTTAGTTTTTGTATTTTCAGTTCTAAAATTCTCACTTGGTTAACTTTTAGGTCTTCTACTTTTTTACTGAGACTTTCTATTTCTTTGCTGAGATTTTCTATTTTTTTAAAAATCTGTTTCAAAGGTGTTTGTAACTGCTCGTTGAATCAGTTTAATGATGGCTGCTTTAAAATCTTTGTCACCTAATTCTAACTTCTCTGTGATCTTGGTGTTGCTGTCTCTTCATTACCTTTTTTTTTCATTCAATTTGAGATCTTGTTTCTTGATATAGCAAGTTATTTTTGATTGAAACCAGGACATTTGGGGAATTACGTTATGAAGATTCTTGATTGTATTTAATCCTTGTTTTAACTGACTTCTTCTCACACTACTTTGGCAGAGGAAGGTGGGGGGCAATGTCTCCACCATCTACCAGTTGGAGTTAGAAGTTCAGGTTTCCCACTTTGCCTCCATTGACAATCAAGGGAGGTGCTCCCTATTCCTGCTGGTGGGGTTGGGAGTTCCAGCTCTTTCCCAGGTTTTCAGTGATGCCTCCCTGGCTGAGGGGGATAGGAATTTCCTGGGACTGCTTCCTACGTGACCTCCAATGACATTACAGTGTGGGTATGTGTGTGGCCTCAATAATTGGTTTTATATTCTTGTTTGAATTTATTGTATAAATCTATTTTGGTTTTAAATATGTATAAAATGCTATAAACTTAAGTAATACATAACTAGTTTTATATTTATATATAGTTAACTGACTAAGGATGAAAATGTTTTGTTTAAAAGGGCTTTATACTCTTGGTTTTGGCTCCGGTCGAGATCTCAGAGTCATGAGATTGAGCTCTGCGCTGGGCTCTGCACTCAGAACAGTCTGCTTGAGTTTTTCTCTCTCCCTCTCCCTCTGCCCTGCCTGCTCATGTTCTCTCTCTCTCTTTTTCTCTAAAATCAATCAATCAATCAATCTTTTTTTTTTTTTTCTTAAAGGGCTTTATACCTTACACCACTTTGAGAAACACTGATATGGGTGACTATAAGGCCTGATGCCCAAATCATGAGTCTCTGGAGATATTCATATTTCTGTCTAGGTTCTCTCACCCATATGAAAAGACAGAAGGAGCTGGGGCCCTGACACTATGGACATCATGTCAGTCTGACGTAGACAGCTTATAGATAAGAAAAAATAAACTCTTATTAAGGGCTCTATTAGTTTCCTATTGCTGTTGGAACATAGTACCACAAACTTACTGGCTTACAACAACACAAATGTGTTCTTTTACTGTTTTGCAGGTCAGAAGTCCAAAATCAGTTTCACTGGGCTAACATCCAGTTGTCAGCAGGGCTGGTTGCCTCTGGAGGCTTCAGGGCAGAATCTGTTTCCTTGCCTTTGCCAGCTTCTAGAAGCTGCCACAGTGTAGCATCTTCAAATCTCTTTCTTGCTCTCTGTCTGTCCTCTGCTTCTCTTATCACCTCTCCTTCTCTGACTCTGAAGCTCCTGCCTCCCTCTTGTAGGACCCTTGTGATTACACTGGGCTCACCTGGATAGTCCATGATAATCTCCCCATCTCAAGATCCTTCACCTACTTACATCTACAAAGTCTTTTTATCATATAAGTTAACATATTCCTGGTTCCAGGGATTTAATAGTTGGACATCTTTGGGGACCATTATTTACCTACCAAGAGGGGATGTTGTTAACTTGCAACTAAATCAGATTTTATTTTATTTATTTTTTTTTAAAGATTTTATTTATTTATTTGACAGAGAGAGACAC